TCTGGATCAATCCAATTGCAGGCGGAGTTTTCCATTTGCCAGTTTCGCAAATGCTGACTCTCTAATGAACAAATTACTTAGCCGAAAATAGCTCACCCAAATTCGATTGCTCACTACGGCGTTTCCCTCTCGTAAATGACTATAAATCGTGTTCGACGTCGCACTGCTAAAAACCCCTCAACGGACGCCGACGACCTTATCGCTTTACATGCACAGAGATCTATAAAAAATAAAACAGAACCAGTTACTGTGACCTGCCGCCTCCATTTCAAATCGTCCCGAGAACACATCCCATATATATAATAACCACATTGTATTTATATAGGATTGACAATTTCCTCTGGAAGGCCATACAGCAATACAGATAGGAAACACGAAGAATGAAAGGAAGGAGTTTCATGTACTCTATTAAAGAATAGAATTTAATCGACCTACACAGTTACAGTAAAAGCGGTGCGTACATCGAGGGTACGATGAAGCTTTCAGTAAAGTGCTACTGTGATTTATATACCCAGTATAAAAAGCGGTTTGCACACCAGTCTTATGAGACAACGTTCCCGGATCAAAGGTCATTCATTTTCGTGCCACGAACTTGAATGGCTCGCCTCTGTTGAAAGAATTGAGTCTGTCACAGTAGTTTTGATAGAGGTAAAGCAGAATCATTATGTGAAAGATTAAGTATACATAGAAATGAGTTGTAGAAACATCAAAACGTTCTGATTTTAATTATCTAAGAAAGTAATGCAACTGTACGACATGTTTTTCTTTCAGACCCACACCCTGGCTATGAAAATAAAACATTTATTCGAGAAAGCGCCACCATGCGGAACATCTCTAATTAAATTCTAGTTCCTTGGGCGCCTCTTACCCGTATTGCATGTTACTCAAGGTGGAATAAAACTCAAATGTAATTTTGTCCCCGGTAAAATGCTATTAGACTTTTACAGCACATTTGACACAACTGTGGTTGAGCCTGCAATAGATCTTAATGATAGACTATTCCCCAACACTGTCACTGTTGTTTTTAAAAGCAGTTATAGATCTACTATTGTCAACTATTATCCTATATTCCAATACTCTAAAGGATATTGTGCTTTAAGAAAGGTTTTAGTTCCACACGTTTAGAAATTTCTAAAATTTAGTCGTTTTCTAGACACTGTCCGGCACGGAAAAAAGAAAAGATATTCAAAGCTAAAGGACATACACTTAGCCTATTTTATGTATGTATCAGTTGAACTCAAACGGATATTAGACAAATAAGGGAATCTCTTAGTATGTATAAAACCACTTCCTTAATCCAAGTAATCACCTTTATTCCTGACGCATTAAATTTTGCTGACGCATATTTCCTATTAACAAGAAGAAAGTGTCAGCTTTACACACATTTAGGCAGAGAACAATACCCGACACGTCGACGCTTTGCGCAGTTCTATATAGTTCTGCAGCTGAGAAAAAAAAGAACTAGGTTTGCCTTAGCTGATGTAACTTTGCAAGGAATAAGCAAAAACTCAACTACACAGTAATTTTACCAGAAATTTGTAGTGAGGCAAGGGGTTATACAAACTCCTTTGGAGACTCAGGTTTGGATAGATTATCTAATAGTTTAACCATTTTTGTGGAGTAATCGAGTCTACCTACGTGGCAGCGTTACCCACTGTATACTAAGCGCGAGATGTTGTTTGTTACACGATGCGCGTAACTGCCAAAACGATCACTAGTAACGCCTACAACGGTTTCATTAGCTATGTGATATGGAACATACTCCAATATTGAAGATTACCGATAAGGAAATGTCTATTCGTCCGTTTCAGATTTTACAAGCTGCAAAAAATTATCAAATATACAACTCTTGTGTAAAGCTACCAGTTTCATTATGATGCTTATTCTTGCAAGAAATGTCGACCACTGCCTACACATACTTCCCTTTTTTGGACTTTTGCCCCTTTTCATACGTTAATGGCCAAAGAGGAATTATGAGAAAACAATAACGCTCTGAGAAATTGAACAAAGCGCACAGAAACTACTATTATTTCATCAACGAATGCGGCAACAACTGGTGCACGCGTCTAGTTTACTGGCATTCTTTAGCTTCTTTAAAGTTCGTCAAAGAGCATTACTTACACTATTAAGACATGTAAGTAAGATAAGTTTAAAAAAGTTGAGCGAAATGGTTCAGTTGTTTTACCCCTGACAAAAAATCACCCAGCACAAGAACTGATTATAACTTTTTTTTGCTCGCATAAATTGTGTAGTACGCTTTGTTGACAGGACTTATAGCAGCGACCCAAGTCGTTTTAATCAGAAACTCGGCTCTCTAATTGGCTATTAAATATAATACGTTATTAAGGTCTACGACATATTATGTGTCGGATGGATGGCACATTTTGGCCATTAGCGGTTTGCTTATACGGGGTGTGTGTATCTCGGTTAAATACGATGGCTCCCACTCTACACTTTCTTATTTTTTACACATTATAGGTATCAAGAACGGCATACGTTCACGTACAAATAACTTAGTTCTAGAAGCGGCTATTCGACGTGACAGGCTGTCCAGAAATTAAAAAAATTACGCACTAATGCTGTGAGGATAAACCGTTAAGGTATGCATTAGACTTAAGGTGGTACTAAGTTTAAATGTAAAGCCTTTGGTAACTGAAAATATGTACGAAAAGATTATTATATTGTTTGTACGGTAAATTTGAACTGATATTTCTTGATTCTATAATTTTGATGAAATTGAACCAATTTGTAAATTTTTCTTATTATTATACCAGTATAATTATTCAATAAATAAAAATACGAAGATTTTTGCTTCGCACGCGTGACACACTCTTGCTTGACATTTGCTTGACGCTTGGATATTAAGGATAAAACGCTGTGCATACAGCAACCAAATTATTTTTTCAATTCGAGATTGAGTCATGTACGATTTACGAGTCGTTGTTGCCTTGCACAAGCTACACGTCAGCTACTTGGTTTTGAAATGCATAGTCGTCTATATTGGGAAGCTTCAGTAATAATGGTGGTAGGTTTTTTTTCTACCAAATCTACCAAATCCTTTAAAACCGAATGTCGATATACTTCGCGTTAAAAACGCTTAAAAGTGATGTTAGGCGTGCGGCATTAAAGCTGCCTAGGCCAGCATGATCTAACTGTCCACATTATCTAATCATTAATTTTAATTATCTTTCCCTACGGTTATTTTGTATCTTCTAAGGTTCGCTGGCTGTACACCACTGGTAAATTTTTGATAGAATTTTATAATGCAAGCTTTTTATGCATTGTTTTATCTTGTAGACCTTAGTTAAGCCTCCGACGAACGGCTTATTTAAAAATCTTGCTTGAGCCGTGAGCGGGTAAATGCGCAGTTCTTTATATCTCCTAATCGATCTGCACTAGCTTCTCTTTGCTGAAATGTTATTTGGTAACTACAGTGCAAATGTGAATTTTATCATCGTGTACTTGACATACACAACGGCGGCCAGAAGTGCGAAGTCTGCAGTATGTACAGCTGTTACCCATAGTGTATAACCTAGAAAACAGGTCAAAAGTCACTAGGTGCCAGAACGCTTGGTAGTGTTCGATCCCCTTGATGGGTAAGCCAAGAGTCACTAAGCTATCACTTCCATCGCCACCTGTTAAACTTCACACCTTGTAAATGCACGCATTTCAGTTATCAATAATAGTGGCTTAAGGTATTCTGTTTGTATCAGTTGCAGAGGCGTTAACCTCTACTTAAACTTCTCTTAGGGTCAAAAGCTTCTAAAAGCTTAGTTATTAAGGACCTGAGTACCAATTAGCCGTCACGTGCAACTTTTTCTCTTTAATACCCTTAAGTAAGCTAATCATTTTAGAGATTATATAAGAAAATAAATGTTACCACTTTTCGGCTAATCCCTTCCAAAATACTTTCTCAGTCTTGACCTTGCCTTTATTTCCATCCGATCCTTTAAATCTATCAACTAGTTAAAAGTAGGGTAGTTCCTCTGTTAGTGAAACCAATATCGGTTTAAATGTGGTAATTTAAGTCACTTTCTGTATCAAAATGTTAACGTAATCAAAGTACTAACCTTTTCTTTTGAATGACACACTAAAAGAGCGTTTTCAGTTTCGTATCTTTGTGTCTTACATCCTGTTTGGTAAGTTTTGCAGGCTTAAGACGAACAACCAAACTCTTGCGAAGATAAGCTAAAACAAATGTGCGTTAATAAAACACTATTTGTTCAGATCGTCATTAGCAATATTGTTTAGATCGTCTATAAAAATTTTCTTTAAGAGTAAGTAAGAAGTCAGTATGAGAAATACTGATGATGCTCCTATCTGAGCTCAAAGGTTCAAATGTTGACTTCGCTTCCCATTCAGATCCAGATCACCGCAATGTAAAGACGGGGCCAAATCGGATCAATATTAAAGTGTTGAAAACTAGCAAGGCGCCATCCTGATATTTTGCTACAGTAACACCTTATCGACTTAGGAGCTAGTTGATAGTATTTTCGGTCATGTGCAACTATTATGAGCACATCTAACAATATTAGTATTCATTATTTTGTAAGGGCACATAGTGAGTGCAAGCCCATATAACGTTAAAATAAAAGATAGAAAAGTACAACCGTTCGCGCTGATATTCAAGGGATCCAACTGACACCTTAGAGAGTACTTGTGAGTTCAAAAAGGAATCTGAAAAACAATTTGTCACAGCAATGGTATCACATTTCGACTTATATATCGACATATATATGATTAGAATAGCAGTATCTAGTTAATAAACATTCGCATTTAGCAATGTCTGTAGCACAGTAGCGGGTTGTACAATAGAGCAAGTATGTCATCAGTGACTTTTTGGGTGGTTGTCCACAAAAGTATCAATATCAGCCACTAATAAAGGTATACAGAGTAATACAAGCACAAATTTATTTTAAAAATAGAATTTCTACGTCTTAGCTTGTTCGTAGTTTTAGTTTCTTTAACTTTACCTATATAATACATGATAAGCGGATAAATACTTCAAGCATTTGTTCAGATATCACCACCTTTATTTCTACAAACAAAACCTACTTCCTAAGAAAGTTGATTTCATGGTCAATAATAAGGTCTTCGCCAAGTCATCGTCATACACAAAATGACCTTCAGCTTTACAAAAGCGCACATCGAAGCGGTATGCATGCCTCGAACGCAGCGGCGTTAGTGGACTTGGTTTAGCTTAATTCTGCACCCGGTGAAGTTCTAGCTGGTGATCGCATGAAACGGATAAAAAGAATGGGCCTTCTTGGCCTGGTTGATGGGTGCACGGTACGAGATTGTATTTTCCGGCAGGGACGTTCTTAAGCTCGAGCACTGTGTAGCCTTGCCGAAATACACCAGAACTGCAACGGGGAAAAGCACTCAGCGGCATCCGGTCTAATGCGAAGGCCTCCACATCGAATCCTAGATGATATTGTCTGGTAAACCACGTAAATTAGGATTTGTCAGCACTGGAATTTCATCCAAATAATCGCATTGCGTACTCATTGGATACATACTTGTGCGTAAATTGCGCTCTGAGGTCGTTGTTTCACACTGTATTTAACTTCGAGCAACTTTGAATTTAAAACAAAAGAACAAGGAAACCATTTGCTGAGCTCACCTTGGTCCTTTTAGAGTGATGAGGATTTGGTTGTGATCATGAGGGCTTTGGATATCAAAGCGGTAAGTCGGATTCTTATTATACGTCAGTAGGTGATTCATGCAGCCTCCAGCTGTGGCAGGTCCCCAGGAACCTTTCTTGTCTTCTTTCGTAAATCTGAAATATGATAGATAATGTCTAATGGCTGATTTTAAAAATCATAGTGCAGCACTGCCAGGAAGGCATTTTGTTTGCCTTTATTATGTACCGGCAAGGGCCCTAAGACGTATTGCAACCTAGAGTTAGACAGAAATAAATATTTAAACTAAAAATTCAAACTGCACTGCAAGGAAGACTTTTAAAACAGTGCGCCTAAGTAATTGGCATAAATAATGAAAGATAAAATACCAATATACTTCCTTAGCTTAATTTATTTATGCTTTTGAAACTAAATATAGCAGATGTATTTTTATTGTCTTAATTCCAAGTAGTTAGAGTAATATTGGATTGTCACAAAAGTACGGCTTGAAGATGAGCAAAATTTCTACAAAAATTTGCTATATTTTACGAGAAAGACACAACTCCTGTCCAGGTCCATGAAAAAAAGCTGCGATATTCATGGAAAAAACGGCCCAAAGATGATTCTTTCACTTTGGCTTTGCAAATCGCACCGTGAAAGATGCTCCTCTTAGTATTCAGTTAATTTCGAGACAAGTTGATGAAATTATTGCAAAAGTTGAATACGATTGATTGACACTTTGGGTAGCCATGAAATCGTCAAGGAGCTAAATGCTTACTACTAAACAGTTTTAAATAATTTGGATTACTGTCTATAAAAAAAAAAGCTCAGTACTTGGGCACTACACAAGTTGACGCAAATATATCTACTCGATCGTACCTTCATCTGCTCTCTACTTAACTCTACATAAATGTAACAAAGTCGAGGTATATGTAAAGTGGTTGATCACGGGCGATGAAGAATGGATGTGCAAATTAACAACAACGCACACCGTTATCCGTGGCAAGGTCCGTACTGACACCAACAAAGTTCTTTGACTACGTGTCTGATGGAATTGAAAAAGAGTCGTGCATTACGTGTTGCTGCAGGCTAGCAAAACACTTGATTCGGATTTCTACTATCAAAAACTAACAAGATTACAACAAGCCATAGAAAAATCGAACGAGACTAACATAACAACATTAGACCAAAAGCATCTTTAATTACTCGATTAAACTTGAGACGAATGTAAAATTATCATCTGTTTCAGCCTTTGCAGAGGTCCCTTAACGATATTTAGTTTCATTGGAGGGATGCAAAAATAACTCGTCATAATTTTTTGTCCGGAAGCCACAGAAGTTCTACAGTGATAGGATTATAGTCTCATCAGAAAAACATCAAAAGGTAATCGACTAATATGGCGTACACTTAGTTTCATAATATTACTTAAAAACAAAATATATTTGTATCAATTTTGGATTAAAAATAATCGATACCTTTTCCAAGACTCGATATTTAACTATACACGAAAATACCGTCTTACAACTTAATCAAGACTGCTCATCGTCAGGGAAGCATGTATGGCTAACCGAATGAACTTCTTATACCTGTATGGGTTCTGCAGTTTCTTGAGCATAAACGGGACGGTTGAGTACGCCCGAATTGTGTAATAAATTGTGGTAGTCTTCTCATATTGCGACACAACAAGGGTATAGTGTGTTTCCGAATCGGGTTGGACGAGAATCTTAACCAGATAATGTGGGCTGTTGATTCGGGCGCCATCTATCATAGGGGGTGGATCATCTAATAAAAGCGACAATGAAAACAGCAGGAAACAGTATGTAAATGGTAATCCTTAAAACGACACAGCAAAACCGACTACTGAATAAGGCTCTGTTTTTAAGGAATGGGTCTTCTCACAAAATGCAAGAAACAACCACATAAAAGTGTAAGTGGAATATAACGATGACGACATCCACCCGTTAACATAAGTTAATAGGCATGATAGATATTTAAAGGTTCTAAGAGTTAATTGCGAGATAGACTTACGGGGAAGGTAAACTTTGTCACCACCCTTGTACACCAATAGCGCTATGTATTCTTTGTTGCTGGCAAAATCGTCTCGATCGACAATATGTCGAGTTAAAAGAACCCATACGGCCGCTCCTGTACTACTAACGCTTAGTAGATATTGAGGATTGTCTCCAATGTTGTACAAGTCTTTCGCAGGGCCCGACCCGCCGTGCCACATGTCATGTGTGCACGACGTATACTGGAACAGCGTCGGTCGCCAGTTGAGATAGAAAACGTCGAAGACACCAAGGATAGACTCATAATCAATCCAAAATACGCCGTTGTCAAACTGTTGCGCATTCCTTGGATTATAATGTAGAGTTTCTGATATTTCTGGTGTCCATGAACGCAAGTCCCGATCCGAGAAACGGCCTTTCCATCGCATATGACTCCAGGGGTTTTTGAGTAGGAAGAGTCGCTTGCCCTGAGTAATAGGCACAGAATACAAGTCCACCATCAATAGCTATTGTATTGGTTACAAATTTTAAACAGTTTATCTTCTCACGAATAGAATAGAAACCCAACAGAAGTGCTTCTTTAATCTAACAAACCAAAATCGACTATGAAAGTACTTCAGTATTCTAGAAGAAATTGTAACCGGCTATATTGTTTGAACGCTCTAGAGGTTCTAAATAGGTTAGCTTACATGCACGAATCGTATATCTAGAACAGCATAGGCATGGCAGTCGGCCAAGCCTGTTCGTTCTTCCAGCTCCGGCCTCAACGGCCCTGTCGCCAAAGTGACTAGCACATCTCCTTTCTCGTGACGATCTAATAGTTTTCTGAATAGCGCTTCACTATCAAAACACGCCTCCTTTGTGCGGATTGGTTCGCGGTCCGGTATCCACCCCGTTAACGCGTGTAAGTCGATATTCTGCAACATATGACATAGCGGTGATACACAATATGTTATGTTATCTAAACAGCGTATTTATAAATTAATTAAATACAATTGTATCATATAAGTGCTTAACAGCAGAACTGAATCACTGGAAACATTTATTCATCATCTAAAACACTTTCAATACACCATGAACTCAGGCAGAGTGACCAGAAGCAGAATGCACCCGACGATTATTATATGGACATATTTTCTGATCTTGTATAATTATTTATATGTGCCTATATAGAGTAAGGCACAGCATGTGAATTTCAGACTTAGAAAATACCCAAATGCCGTTCTCACCGAGTTCGATCCAGGGAAATCGTATCCACCCATGACTTTGAGGTAAGCCTTCTCCAACAGCGAAACCCAGAACTCTTTTTTTTTATTGGAGTAACTGCATAGAAGCTGATTATGCTTGCCCAAAGGCAATCGGTCATCCAGGGTGACTTTTCGGTGTACACCATTAAAATATAGCTTGACCGTATATTTTCCGCAAGGGTTAAACACCGGTTCGCCGCGAGAGTTCTTCGGGTAAATTACGCTGTGAAAATAATAGGAACCCATATATAGATTAGAAAAATGTCTTTCTAGTAAGTGCATTCAATGTTCAAAATATTTCAAATGCAAGCTTAGCATACACGTACCCTGTTATTAATCTCTTCTTGAACTTTTTTTCGTATAAAGCACACACGGTGATTGACGACACAAAAGAGCAATCGGTGACACACGTTTGTTTGATGCTAAACGGATCGACTGTACTTTCAATGAGAGTCGGCTCGGAAACCAATTCACTCGGACGAACCCATTCTGCGAACTGTGCACGCTGTTTGGGTGAAAGGCCTAAAAGGCCATCTTTATCTTCAAATGGCAGGATCAGTGCGAAGCGATCACGTGCATCCGCTCCTAAACAAGCGACGCAATAAAAATCGTAACAGACCTTCTGTATATACTATCTTGATCGTTCGGAAATTTTTGCTCCACCTTATATATACTTATATATAGACGAGGTTAGTAGCTTATGAATCAATTTACGAACAAGACTTGACTCTGGTATATTTGATAGTTATTTCATTGATGTTCAAGTAAAAACAAATAGGAAAAAACGTATGGTATATTAAAAATCTGAAAAAAGATGAATATTACAATATTGAAGTAGGATCTTTTTAATAACACAGTTTCAATAAGTACCTAATATTTAACGTAAAGTATAAATTAGATAAACAAACCTCTAGCATACTAACCTAGAAAGGGCACATATTCTCTATGGTTGATAATAGATGTTTTTGCGAGCACTTCCAGCTCCCATGGGGTGTATCGATTACTTTCAGTAGATTCAGAGGAAACAGGTGGCCTGCGAACTTGGTTAATCACAGGCAGTAGCGGATAAATAGGTGGCGGAGGTGGACCAGGACTTGGAGGAGCTGATGGAGCTGTCCTGAAATTGCATGAAAAATAAATCTACATACGTAATATTTCCATAGTGATTGTGCGCGTATTTTGGTGAGCATTAATCACACTTCTAAAGAATCCAAACATTTTTAGATAGAACCAATAAACGGTGTCATTATAGACTGCAAGCGTCTAGTATCGAGTTGATGTAAAGGCTTAATCAGGATTTAGACGCGAAAAGTTATAGTACGTACAATAAGAGTACATTGAACTGATTCTTATTTGAAAAATGAGATGTACTTTATTTTTAGTTATTCTGTCCTTTGTATATCCTATGGGGATATAGAGGTGTAGCTTATGCCACATATTACAATACACATGTAAAGAATCCGCTTCCCAAAGGTTTGCCGTAATTCGTTTTGTTCTATATAACTTACGATGCCTCGAGCTCTCTTTTTCGTTCCCGAAGGGTCTTGGCCCGTTCTAGTGCCTGCGACGCTACATGGAACAGCCTTTGTTGCAGATCCTTATCGACCGTCATTGACTTGGCAAACAGACACAGCTCAATCGCTTCCTCTGGAAAACCACGAAGAAGTATACAATTCGCGAATAAATGAAGCGATATCAAACGCTGAAAGCGCAAATAAGAGCTTACATAAGGGTTTTTATGTAATTACTCTATGATAATAAATGTAATGCTTTTTTTTTGCAAGCTGTTTATGTGATTTATAAACGCAAGTAATGTTTGTGTACCTTGAATGCTGGATACCAAACGCTGCAATCAAGCCCGTTGTGTTCATTTTAAAGGTTAGCTGAAAGCTAAGGTTATCCGGTGTATCTATAGCCCGGCAACTGAAATCCATTAGCTGGGCGTGAGCATTATACACCACTTCTAAATCGGATCATCTGGTGTTAAATACAAACGTTTATTCTGCTGGGAACTTTTCAATATGGTATTTTTAGCCAATTAGATAAATTACTAAAAAAAAGCTTTAAAAATGTCATATACCATACTGTTGAAGTGGTTCGTCGATTCCGCCTGCCTCATCTAATTCCAATGCCTGCATAAGAAGAAAACGGGCCCGACTTAGGTCTAAGGCCTCTGAGGTGGGTTTTGGCCTTCTTGCGGCATCCTGCTGCTCTTTCCATTGGGCTTCAAGCGTATCTGCCCGATCCAAATAGTCTTTGACCTTTTTTAGAAACATGGGTTGACTATCGTATTCCTTGCATGCGATCATCAACACAGAACTAGCCTCCTGTTGAATAGAATAGGATGAACGGTGGTTCTATTAACCTTCAGGCTATTCGTAATAGTTTGACATATTAGAAAAAATGAGGATCACTTATAAAAATATTTCTATTTTCAATTAGTAACGAAAATGACGGATTACGTTATATCGACATATACTTAGAGATTTCATAATCTGCTATGCAGCAAACGTCAATTGATAAGCCGTGTTAAGAGATACCCGGTAGTAATAAATTGCCGCTTCAAGTTGCCCGGTTTGATCGAAATTGACGGCCCGAATAGCGAGTTCTTTTGCGTTGCCTTCCAGTTCTCTACGTCGCTCCTCTCGAGCAGCGTCATTTCCGTCTCTTGAGTCATCCATTGTCTAGCACTGTAATGCTTTAAACAGAGGCAAAATAGGACAAAATATAAAAAAAAGAAAGGCATGGACCATTAGGCTATGCCTAGGCATGGCTACATTAGGTTAAATTATTTCATTAAACATTTCATAGCCTACTTTAACTACTACATATGTGATGTTATACATACAGCAATCTGTACAGGTATGAATTTCAACCTCTCGAAACACCTGAAAAAGTTTAACGGTTTTTCAGGTTTTAGCTAGCAGAATAATTAGTTATCTGCATATGTAAGAAACACGTTTGTCTAGATCCAATGCAGCTTTTTCAACCGTCTTTAATAGAACTAACCCAGACATCTTTCGTAAGCTTAAAAATTATTCATTTTTTTCACCCATAATAGTTTACTATGAGATTTCGGCTTACAAAAGCTGAAAAACACTGCTTTTAATAAGGAGGCTATTGAAGTAGTCTTACGTTTTCTTATACACTATATTGTCATGACCTCCAATAATTTAAGTTTGTTTGTATACAATGTTCCATACATTTTCGGCAGCAGAAAATTATGTCTAGAGTGTTTGTAAGTACTGCAATCAACTATTTCTAGTAGCCAACCGCTGTAACTAGCGTACAATTCAACGTAAATGTCATCTGATGAAAAAGCCAAAGAACCAAACCTGAACTGGTCCAAAGTGATCATATCAAATACTATTACGTATTGAGCACATTTGTTGAAAAACGTATTACGCTTGTAAAATCAATCCGCTAATCTCATTATAAAAAAATGGCATAAAATTAACCGACCAACTACACCTGTTCTATTGCACTGTTTGCGCAAATTCATGGATTACAGGGTCTTCCCTACTTCAGACATTATTGGCAGAGTTTTTTAATATGACTAAAGAACAAGCCACTTCACATTTATTCTAATTCAAGCTAAAAGCTTTATCGACGTACGCAGGACACACTATTCACACCATTTCACAGGTTGTAGTCTAATTTTCATTGGTAAGGCACGCATCACTTTTAGCAGGTCACACTCGCTCATTGCCCATACTGCACCACATTTATATTGCCTTATCACACGCGCGCGTTCTTATGGCCAATATAGTAACCACAGAACAACTCACTATCATTAATGTAGTGTTCAATACAGGTTCACAGTACCCAACAACGCCAGTTGGTTTTTTGTATGAGTGATTTTTACAGGCCTTACGTAACTCGTGTTCTACCTGTACGTAAAAGCTTCCCTAATCCGTGGACGTATTTTCAACACAAACTGGCTAACGATGTGAGTCATCCAGTATGAAGGCACATATGACTACAATCACATACGCAAGTGAAATGATTACTAATTAAACTTACCAATTATAAGCTGTTGTTCGAACTTCTCACATCCTGTGTATTCTTGATTTATTCGCGGCAAGTCGTTTTCCGCCAAAGTCACTGAGGGACCCGCGTGTAACTGCTATGTTCGAGGCTAGCATTTAGCTCGGAGGCTGTCATTAAACATTGCTTGTCTCCATCTTTGATTCGATTCTTATATCGACCTCCTTCAAGCCTAATGCCACATTTGTTTTAAACATTAAGTAACCTCCCTACCGCTGGCTGACATTTTGTTTCGAACCAAGAAGACCAGACCTTTTTCTATCATACCATATTGTTTTTTTCCGACAAAATCAGCGAGCTCTTATTTAAGCGAGAGTGTTTTTAATCGCGTTCACAGACCATTCTCTTTTCTCGACCGTCTGTAGCGAAGTGACTCTACTTAAACCGGCTACAATATTTTTTTTCTGTATCAATATTCAGTGCAATCCATAATCAATGGATGGTAGATGGTGCATTGTTACCGGGAAGGGTAGCGCGCAAAGCAATGAGTATAGATCTTTTTAAATCGGCTTGTATTTAACGGAAACGAGAGGACAATAACAATCAAAACAGTAGTCAACCCGAAAGGGGAGAGAGAGAAAGCGAAAGCGCGTGCCGTTTCAGTGTTTACTTTTGAGTAGCAGACCGTCTGTCCGCCCGGCTAGAATTACAACGAAAAAAGATGGTGTTGCAAACAATATGGCTTTCGAACGTTAACCGTTCGTAGTCACCATAGAGCTCTACGGGGCGCGCACAGCAAACACTAAAGGCGCGTTAAGTATTTCGCGCGCCATAGCGGGGAGGGGACATGTTCGAATTTAAATCTGGTTTCGGTTTTCTGTGTATACTCTTGTTCTTGTTGATCCACCGTTACCGCTGCGGTTATGGTCCGCCACTGTTGTTGCTATTTATTGCTGGATTTACGAAGGTCTAAGTCACCTAACGAGCGTAGTGCTTATTGCGTTGTTATTGTTATTATTATTTTTGTTGTTGTTGTTAACCGTGTACTGGTGCTTTTGTCAGAGAGACTTTCGGCAAACGCGAATGACAAAAATCGAATGAGACAGCCGCGGTTGGAATTTTTTGAAAATTCACTCTTCACTGAACATCAGCATAATTACATTGTGTTAAGCAAAGAACTAAGGTACGTACTTGTTCACGAGTGACGGAATGATTATATTTCAGGATGCACGTGAGGCCAACTATGCTTTAGTAGAAATATAGTTTTGTTAGTCTGTAGAAAGGATGGTGAGCAACCTTTATAAAGATGACGTGAAAAGCCAACAATATTTCTTATGGGTCATACCAATATGATAAGAAAATTCAAACAATTTCTAAATCTAAATTTCTGGTGTTTTTGTCCCTGCAAAGTCATATTCTGTACAATCGATTGTTGCAGACGTAGCCGTTATCAGTAGGTATTTTCCTAAAGAAAAAAAAACGAAACGATGTAATACGCAGTAACTACGTTCTCCAGCTACATTCGCCTTTTCCGAGATATGAATAAACCTGTTGTGCAGCTTTTCCTTCAATGCCAGCCGGTGAGTCAATCCAGCTTCGATCTGCTCTATTCGCCCGTGTCCACAGAAACCACCGCCGCTGCGGCTGCGTGCTGGTGACAAACCAACCCATCACTGTGATTCGTCTCTCTGAACTCTGCCTTGATCCGTCTGAGGGAATCTTATGGAAACGACGCGCTGCTTGCTTCCCTAGATTTCTGCCTTCAATCCCCTAGACTCTATCCCAGCCCCGTGCGTCAAGTGGATACGAGGGCCCCCGTCGATGTTGGCTCCGATGATGTTAGACGTTATCCGTCCCACGATGGCGGTATCTATACGGAGAATTTCTAAGCTCGTTGTAGTTGGAGGTTCGTACGAGCTTTGTAGAAGCTTGGCTAGAGGGCGCTTCTCAGTACTTCACCGCGTCTCTCGCCCAGACGCAGCCGCACTCCGGCGGGCCTAAGCCTAGCAGAGCCCCCCCCCCCCCCGTGTCCTATCCCAGGCCAGCCGGGCAGCAGGCGAACCGCTCGGCTCTAGATATATACCCCGATCCCGATTGAACCCCAGCCTCGTACACTGCACCACCAGCTCTCTCGATGTACTACCCAACGCCGCCTACCCAACCCCCCAGCAGAGCCTCCCTTCGCGAATTCTGTGTTCTGTACAGTGTTCGCTTACTCCAAGTTGTAGCGGCAGCGGCTGCGGCGCCAGCGACGATTATAGTAGCAGTCTCAAATCGACCGACCAGTAGTATAGCACTCGGCGAGAGCTGCCATCTGCCTACTTCTTTCGAGCCCGACGAAGCAATTTGGTGTCCCTCGTACGCGACGACTCGCTATTACGCCGCGGTCGGAACCCGTTTTGCCAGCATTCGCTGTATTGCCGCTTCAGGAAGAACTCTGTTGTTAAACTTCTGTTAGCTAGGTTGTGGCTCACTGTCGACTATATCTGTTCTCGTTTGCAAAATGACCTCTGGTTTATTAATAGAGAGATCTACAAATACGAAGTATAGTAGTGGTGTTTAGACTTGAAGTACGTTGTTAGTTGACCTCAGCTGCAGTAACTTCGAGGTAGCGAATAGCTACGAGTATGATTGGTGGTGATTGTCGTTATAGAGAATGGTATCAATAGTATGGTTTGTTGTCGTTCGGATTGCTGTGATAGATCAATTCGGGCAAACGGTGTGATTTCTGGCTGGCACTGTCCACGGCGACAGCTGCTCCGGAATCGCGCGTTCGAGGTAAGGAAAAGAAATGAACTACATAGTAAAAGAAAGAATTAATGCATCTTAAAGTAACATGCAAGGGCGTTGATTAGATTGCTATAAAATCTCAAGTTACATAGTTTTTCTTAGTTGGTAATGTTTAGCGATGGATTCTATAGTGAATCGTTTTGTGATTAGTTAAAATAGCGGGCAAGTCGATAGGGCGCTCGAAATAGTGGTCGCCTTAATCGAATTACTGGAATTGTGAAAGCGATACCTGTCTGCATTTGAGATATGACCTGGGAATAACTGAGAACTTTTGTATACCTCATAATACTGTAAAGACAAGAAATTTTGTTTGTGAAGATTTTGATATAAGTTGAGTGGTACCAAAGCTTGTTTGTTACGCATACTCTATACATTGTCTAGTGGAAATGCTACTTTTTACACAAGCATGGATTCCGACGACAAATAGTAGTGTGCTTTCTGTCAGATTATGATTGCCCTGATTTGCACTACATATATCGTGTGATAGAACATATTTGCTATTAGAGAAGAAGGTCGAAAGTCCTGCTCGAGAAAATATTTAATGTAGAAACGTCAATGTTCCCTGACAAATGCAAGGCCTCATAATGTTTCTCCTATGGTCAGAAAGCAAAATTCATTAATTCAAGGCCAAAGCTAATACTGAACATTGCCGCGATTTCCATGCGCCTCATTCCAGGAACGATAGCAAAGACGATTCCTGCTGAAGTCGCGACTGCCGCCAGAGGATCACCATGAGCTCGGACGAGAAGAAGGTGACCCCCTGAGTCGTTTTTATAACCGTATTAGCTTTCAGAATCCGCTGCAGTTGTACACGAACATGCTAGAAATCACCTAAAAATCGCTTTAACATCACCCGGCGAATATATTGGGGATTATTATTAACTTCTTCGTTCTTGTTTACGCGTTGGAGACCACAACCAATTATTGACTCATTGACAGCATCCAAGATTTGTGCCTCTATTCGCCTTTAACACCACACGTGTACATTAGGTTAGCATTGATCTCTTTCGAGAGTCAGCCACTTATTCTTGAATCAACGAAATTCAAGGGCAGACTCCGTCCGTATTCACTTTCATTTATTTGTTGCGCCATCTCAGTCATGAGCGATCCCGACTTCGACAGTGAACGCAATAAGATCGGGCGTTGTTGCACGGCCCGGTGGTGCAAAGTTCGATACAATACCAATGGACTTACGTCCTTCTTTAGGTTTCCCACCGACCCACAACGGTAAGATTATTAGTTTTGTTGCGCCCACAAGCACCGTGCCTTCTTCCACACGTATGTTTCTGTTAAATAAAGGAAACTGTGCATGCTTCTATGTGTATCTGTATATGTGTGATACGTCCCATAGCGCACGAAACGATACAAAAAAGCGCCGTTTGTTCATATTCCGAGCTGCGGGTATCGTAGACGGTGTTGGGACGCGACAAAGTTTCGGTCACTCAGGCACTGAGGACTACTTGACTTGTTCTCGGCGATTTCAGCATTTGACGCTGTGTTTTACTCTTGATTTCCGTCCTATTTGCGTTTTATCATTTCTTTTCGTTTATTTTGTTGTGAGTTTATCGACGCGGTCAATAGTTGAGTTGCATCTTTTATCGCCTTTCTAGGCTGTCAATTGTCGCGTCCATTAGGGTTTTAGTCGCATATAATTTTATTGGGCTTTTGTTCCATTATGTTCCATTTTATAAAATCGTCAAGTCTATGATCGATTGTGAAAGTAGAACTATTGTGCATATAATACGTTAAATAGTGTGGTTCATAGCAAATCCGCGGATATCTTCTGTACGGATTCTGTCTTTTTACATCCCTGTTATCCTTCGGCAACTGAAATAGCTGTCGCCGCTGGATCGACTACGTGAACCGTCCAGAGTTGGCTTACAACTCGCCTGAACATCTGCACAACAACTATCGACTTTGCGCTATGCACTTCCGCGAGGATGACTTCGTCTCATTGGGCAATCACGCGCGACTCAAGAGGCACGTCGTGCCATCAGTCCCACCACCTGCCGACTGGAAGCACGCAAATGACATCGAGGACACCGATGATTCTAAGGTGCTTCCTCACCTCGTTATAGTCCCTGGGAGGTGGATATTTCGACCGCGATTTCCATCTGTAACGTAGAATTAACTGAATTGTATTGGACGTGCATAGTGCTAAGAGGGTTTAGTTAAATGACGTCTTCGTTGATAATGTAGAGTTTTAGACTTGGATTCGTCTTGCAGTCAAAGCGCCTGGACCGGCATTGGTCAGTAATGCTTGTCCATAAATATTATAATCAATCAAACTATTCCGCAAAAAGCGTGTTAAGAGGAACACGGGACGACGATTCATTCAATGATTGACTTTGATTTGGAAATCAATAGATTCCCCGTACCAAACGGCGGCTTGAAAATTATTACTGGATAATAGAAATTACCCGTAGATAATACCTGTAACGTCTTGGAAAACAGGTAAAAGCTTAAACACTAACGTAAGCGATACCTATGCTTTTTAATTGTCCTACTAATATAATCACTAAAAGGCTAGCTGGCCGCGCTTCTAAAGCTACTCCAACTAACAGTAAGAGACACAATAAATTATTTTTTCATTGTTATTATGATCATAGATAACGTCATATTATCGGCAATAAATAGTACTGATCAACATTATCATATTACTCCTTTTTCATTAAAGGAGTTCTTGTAAGGTGCTATTAATGTGTTCAGACAAGAAAGTTGTCAGCCGGCCATATACGTTGCAGTAACAGTTAACGTTTACACATATTAATTTCTCTACATAATATTGCAGCCACAGCCCAAAGGCTTTGAACGCGGACTTGAACCGGAGAAAATCTTAGGCGTGACTAATTCATCAGGGGAACTCATGTTTCTCATTCAGTGGAAAGGCGCAGAGGAAGCAGACTTCGTACGAGCTGCCGAGTGCAACCTCCGGTACCCCCAGATGGTCATCGGCTTTTACGAACGCAAACTTGTAATGGAGTACTAGACGGAGATTAACACCAGCCGTTGGCGCGACCATAACGCGAAATCGTGTACCGGAACCTAACTCATCAAATGGGTGTACAAGCCTATAATTACTATTACCACAACTACTACTATTCCTAATCAATATGCTAATAATACCCGTAGTCATCTATCCAATTGCGCTATGTTTGTACGCGTGGAACGACACAACAAGGGAGCGCATTGTTAGTGATGACGTTTCAGTGTTCTGTGATTGTTTTAAGCAGGGTCGACATGGCAGCAGGTTTGGCTGCGCCGACTTATACGCTCTGTAAATCAACGAGGATTTATGTCGAAGCGATGGATGTCCCACGTTGCAACAATTGTGAGGAAACTGCGACATCGTTATAAGGAAATGATATCACTCAGCTCATATCGAAACGGCTAGTCTCTCGAATACGATCAAGCACCAGTTGCTGTATTAAGCATCGGACCCTTAGTACAAATTCGGGTGACTATCCGCAGGCATTTGTATAGTACATATATTTCTAAAATCAACATTGTGTGAGTAAAGTCTGTATGTCCATGTATCACCATTAATTAGAGCCTTTTTATTTAGAAACGTCTGCTGTAATGTTCCTAGGATTCTAAGCATGCTACATAATGCTCTAGAAGTTACATCGGTTTTCCCTAGGTACTTTCTCGAAGATGGGCACATTGTTATAACCTTAGCCCATTCTAGCACATCCACTGTGACTGCAGTATGTTCATAAAATGCTGACTGAGTTACGTAGTACATTACGTATGCAAATAATATTCCTTGCGCGTGTCGCCACATTTAGCCATACTATAGAACTGCCTATATTTTCCAACTTCTAGCCGTACTATCATTATTAAATGTGTGCTGTTTTACAGGCGCTAGTAACTGGCTGACCTCTAATTTTCAGTTTTGTGATGGTATATCACTATGAAGTAAACTTAACGAGACCATATATTTGTAGAAGATACAAAGAACACTGAAAGAACTGGTGATTATTGTACAAACTAAATATTGTTTCTTCAATAATCAAGCAGTCAATTGTTAAGAGTCTTAAATTATTTTTAATCAGGAATTCTCCCTTGATTTTGCATTTGAATATCGTAATACTATCTTACAAAGACACCACTTAATAAATGCAGAATACGTTAGCAAACGTAAATATAGATAAATGAATCAGTCACGTAATGTTCAAGCTTAAACCTACACATCTATTGACACACTTCCCGTTGAACATTTTCATGCTTTACGACATCATCCATTTGTGTGCGATAACGATTAGTACAAACGAATTCGATGCTTTTTATATAGTTGTTACTGGTATGGCTGAAACATTATGCTCAAAGTCCAACATCAAAAATTTATTGGAATGAAGAACCTGACACAGTGCTAAGCGTTGGAAGCGATAAATTCAGTTTCAAATTTAAAGAGTTATTTTCTATACAAGTCGTATAAAATGTAGCGCTGATCTAATAAAAATCGTTGTAGTTATCTTAAAATTTTCGCATATGCTTTTAGGAGATGATATCAGTGCGTCTCCACTCAGTAGCAGTGGTTCCTTCTATTTCAGAATATCAGCTATTCTTGATTTCATGGAATGTGTGCTTAGCAGCACTGGCACATGATAAGAAACAAACATTTATTGGAGACCTTTCTAATAAAAAAAATCTGCATAGGGAAAAACACTTAAATAAGATATCAGTGAAACAGCTGCTATACGCATCATAACAGATCTGTAATTTCTCATAAAAAGGATGCATCAAAGAACAATGACTATCTTAGGTTCGTACGAATTGTGCAGTATGAGTTGTGTACAAACTTTGATGTTTCGTAAAAACTATAGTACTTTATTTCACTGTTCATTAAAGCTAGATATAATGTGTATAATACTGTTAACGACAAAAATTAAAAAATAAAATTAACATTTATATAATGGCATATACATAAAAAAATGGCTTTTTTAACTTTTTTTTAACGTTTTAAACGTTTTTTAACTTTACCATACGACACAGAACTTCGCCTTATTTAATAGATAGTAAACTGTAAATATAACAGCAAATTATTAATTACTAATAAATTATATTATCCGTAATGAAATATTCTAACGCTACAAGAAACATCATCCGATAGCTGTGACGCCGCTGTGAGTACACTTTTTCGAGATGGTGTGTCTAAACCTAGGGTAAATACAGCTTATATGCTAGCCTGTGGCATCGAGTCACATGGTAGCGCAGCCATTTAACTGCAGACATTTGATTACTAGGTCGAAGTCGGTTATCATATCGACACTATTGTCAAAGGTCAAAATAGAAGTGCTGTCTGTGCAGTGCGATACCTGAGATTATCGCGCGTCGTTATATTGTTTTTAAAACCAAGAAGTACGACGCACGTCCAGTTGACGACAAACTTCTCAGAGTTGTAGTTCCTTCGCGATTCTCTCCATAGCCCCAAGAAAATCTTTTCCGCACTGTTTCACTTGATCGAAGTGGCGCAGCGCTTTCTTAGCTAGTGTAATTCGGGCAACTTTCTTGTTGCGTGCAGTTACGGTGAAACGTTCATTCATGACACTCATCTCAAGACGAACTCGTTTGTTTTCAAGAATTTCGATTTTGCCATATGTGACCATATTAGGGTACATTTCCATGAGCATAGTTACAGGATGCCGCGGTATATCAGTTAAATAATTTCGAATAACGTCATCCCCTATTAGTCTCCTAAACACAATCCATGTCCGCTCAAAATTCATAGCAGTGTCGAGAAAAACTGCGCCTATTAGGCTTTCAAACAGATCTCCAAGAGGTTTTGGCACATCGACAGCGCTAACGTCGTCCGAATCATCTTCACAAATGAGTACCTCGTCCAAAACGCCCTTCTCCAACGCCGCCAAATAGCATTCAGTCAGCCTGAGAAGTACAGGCGACTGATGGAGCAAGTGCTTATGCAGCTGGTGATTCGTGACGGCGCGAGCTAACGTAGTGTTGCAAACGAGGGCTGCACGGGAGTTGCTCAACTCGCCTGGGCTAAGCTGAGGGCAATTATAGTATAGATAACGTGACACCAAATAATCGACGACGGCGTCGCCTAGAAATTCGAGTCGCTCATAGGACCGCGTCAAACAATTGCGTGTATAGGATTGGTGGGTGATAGCTTCCAATAGCAGTAATGGCTTCGAAAATTGATAGTCTAAAATTGTTTGCACTTCGTACAATTGGCGTTTGAACCTCGGCAAATAACGAGATACAAGCTCAGCTTCAGGTTCGGTCCAAGAGCTAAGATTAAACCTCGAGACGAACGAGCCAGATGTTCTACAATCTAACTTCAGACCTAAATAGTTCAGAAAATTTAGTGCTCCGTTAGCTCCAGACTTTTCAAGATACACACCTATTAACGCTTCGACGGAATCTGCGCAAATCTTGCTCTTGTATTTCTGTACGATCATATCCTGATGACCGTCAGCTGTTTTACATCCCGGCGGCAAGAAGTTCGCTCTGGCACAGAACTGCAGGCTTTCCACTGCATCTTGAATTTTGTGTGGTACGGCAAGGGTCACGAGATGCATGTTAGACACGAGGCGGCATCGTTGTTGAGTCAAATATCCTTCATCTTTTGAATCAAACCTGCCGAAAAGGTCTAGGGTGACCACAAGTTTAAGATACGAGTCTCCAATTACCTCATACCGTTCGGAGTCAACAATATCATTTGCCGACCGTGGCGAAAGCGCTGTATAGATGTCGATAGCAGAAGGTCCCGAAGAATCAATAGGCTCATCAAGAATAAAGGTGATACCATCCAATCTGATATTGTCTTTTGATCGAAACGATCGTGAATCGTTTGAAAGTCGTTCGTATCTCATAGAACTTGCTTCCTGAATCGCCTTCCCAATTCCGGCATGTACAATGTTCATTCGGATATTTTCAGCAACTAATAGTCGGTTGAGCCGATACAGACATGATGCTACAGAAAGTCCCTTGGACCACTGTGAAGCAGTCAGCAGTTCAACACAAATATCATTCCTGTGTTTGGCGTATCTTCGCTTAATCGCATCGGGTGTTTCCTCTTTGTACATCGTTTTAACTCTATGGTGACATGCGACGTAATCAATATTTCTAGGCATACCCAGCAGAGATACTGTTAACATGCCATCTTCTTGAAAAAGTTCCCCCACGAAGTAGGATCTTTTTGTTTCTCGTTCATTTAGCTCACTGGTAACGGTAACTACAGAATCGATACTTAAAGTAAAATCCGTGGAGTTCCTTAGCATATTCATCAATGTATAATTCAACTTGTTACCAGAAATTGGAACGATAGCAGGGGCGGCAAATGGATCGCACTCAACCCCAGCAATGCGGAGAACACGCGTCACCATGTATCGATGAAATAAGCTGCATATACTCCACTGTACCTCTGTGATGAATACGTCGTGAATCTGTTCAACGCGCACTGTTTCCACGCCTGCTTTAGTAAACAAAGGGAAATCAGGGATTGTTCCCACATCCTCAGTGTTAAATGTGAGAATACCAAAACATAACGGCTCATTTCCCACATTGAATATTCTTCCATGATAATTCTCATCGACGAATGGCTCATGAAGAGTGATGCGAAAGGCAAACACTTTAGCACAAGCCGGAAGTCTTGGAATTGGGCAAGTCTTCAACTGACTGGCTTGGGCTCTGCCACAGGTGATTGAAGAGTCTTGTGTGATCGTATTGTTCTTGAAAAGAGCTTTGATTTCATCTGAGACCTCTTCGTCGGTCCACTCGTACGTGTTAGCCGGAGGTCTCCTTTTCGGTATAAGGTTTTCTGTGAGTTCACCGACATCATACAGTCGCTTGCACGCTTCTAACGCGGCAGAAATTTTCGCCTTTATCTTATTTTCGAGAAACTTTCCATATATTTGTTGGCCAAAAAGTTTAGACTCTCTGGGGAGTTCGATGTTGCACCGTATTTTGTGGCCATAAGCATCACTTTTGATGGTCGTATATTGAAATTTAGGTTTTAAAACTTTGAAACGGTCATCGCTTAACAGATCACAGTACCATTGCAAGATAGTACGTGCCGACTGCGCGGTGATGATCGCTGAATCACGTGGCTTGTTTGGAAAGGCGAACAATGTTGGCAGGTCCGGGTCATCGCGAAGTGCCTTTTCCATGTCGGCACTATCAATATCCATATTATCTTGCAGGCAAAGCACCAATACGTTAAGTTCAGACTCCTTTAATTGCTGTAGAGCTACTGACATCTGCAAGGTATGGCAATATTAACAGTATAAAATTTTTTAATCGTGACTCAGAAGTGATTCAACACGTATAAAAATTTGAAAGCTGGTAGGTTTTTATGACCTACAGCTCGCTTTATAAGTTAAAGCAACATTTATTTGCTAAGAGTTCATCGCAAATGATAATTTGATAACACACTAAACAAATCGATATGCTTCTACGACTAGGCACTCTGTTTCTTTAAGATACTATCCGGCAGGCTCGAGCAGCTTAAAAAGAACAATGCAAAATGTAAATAACTAGTAACACAATAGTAAGAAGACAAATGCCTTTTGTCACTTACTACAATGATTTCAATCTATAAGTCCAGCAATATTAGTCAGTGTGAAAACTTCCGTTTTCATTCATGGGTACTCATATTGTCCTAACGTAAGTGGGTAGATCTGAAGCAAGCTGTTTGGTTTACAAGCCTTGCTAAAGGCTGTAAATCCAAGCATATCAAGAATTAAGACTTCCTTCCTTCTCTATGTATCGCGTATAGATCAATTAGTCTATAATGAAATACGCATATATGGCTAATTTCCATTAACAAATTATCTCTGCACTTGCCTTGTGGACCGTATTCCTTGGACACATGACGGCATAAACTGACGGCCTACTTCGTGCCCTCCCTCGGCTCTGAACGTAGCTTCGCAGATTTATTGGCTCATTGAAACGGACGACAAGGTTACAATAAGGGATATCGATCCCTTCTTCAATAACCGCCGTGGCAACAAGAACATTAAGTCGTTTTTCTCTGGAACAATGCCGAATTACAGTGGTAAATTGATTGATCAAACCCCTATTTACGATTTTGTAGATTTTGTTGGTCGAAAAAATTGCAGACTGTTGGGAATATCTACTACATGCCTAACGGCTGCGTCACATCTGTTTAGAATCAATCTGGCATCAGCACAGAAAAGCCCTGATTTTATACTAAGACAGAGTATAAGTCACCCACCGAAAATCATTAAGAACGTGCTGGTCGCTATCAGTTGTTTCGCGTTCATCAACGAAGTTCATGATCTTCGACTGGGTATTGCTGAATTGTGACATAATTCCCTGGCCCATGATAAATCCTGGGCGAATGTATCCATACCGGTTCGGGCAGCGTCGACTTAGCATTGATAACACACACCACAGGCTGAACACTGTGTAACGCTCTTGGGCAAAGACAACACAACATAGCGTTATGTTACTCCTTTCAAATGAACGGAACATTTCAAGAAGCCGATGCACCTTTGGTGGGAACGAATACTGTAATGGATCAACGAGTATATTTCGCAGATCGGGAGGAATCACCACTGGGTATTGATTCTTCTGAAAGCCGCATCGTACGTTTGTTGACCACGCTTTCAAACTAGCTTCTACGCGCTCAAGACTCACTAAAATAGTTTTGTATGTGCCGATTACGTGTGACTCAGCTAATGAATTTTCGAGTAAATTTTTAGTAATATGAATTCGATGCTCTATAGACTTTAAAGCACCAAACGGTCCAACTTCTCTGAGTAAACGCTCGATTTGTGCTACCAAGGAGTTCTCGCCGTTAGGCGCACAAAAAACGCTAGCATCACAAGGAGATACATGGACCTGGATTTGCACAGGTGGAATTTCGTTGTAGCTTACGATGATCTCAGTTGGCTTTGTACCGTAACTGATCGCATCGACTGAAGTGACTATTTTTGAGTTAAGACGAGAGCAGAGTTCGCGCACTTCCTTCTGGACGCTAGTTGGTTTGACCTTGCGATTAAGCACTGATGCCGTCAAGCCAAGTATTTTAGGCCGCTTTCCCTCTTCAAGGTCCTTATAATGGTTCTGCATGATCTGGACATAGGGAGCCTTGCCACTTGCGGCGTGACACTCATCTAGGACCAGCAGGTTGACGCTGGAGAGTTGGACATAGTTGAAGTTGAGAATGTTAAGAAACACCTGCGGACAGCATCAGAAAAAGGACATTGACTGCACGAAAACGTTAATGGTTTTTAGTACATACGTCTGGTCTTCGCGACGTCGATATAGTGTAAATTGTTTTGATTGGCAATAGCCCTGAGAATTTTATCAAATACGATATCTATGAAAAATGTATGCAACGCTTTCTTTTCTGTTAAATGTCATAAAAAATGTACAATTTTAATTTAAGCAAAGCAATTAGGGAGCTCAGCAACGCTAGATGCGATTAGTAAACAGATTTCACGCCGCCGGAATTAAGAAGTTGGTATAGAATCCCTTGAAAATGATTGTTCAATCTATGAATTACAATTGACGTAAATATCTTACCTGCGGAGTCATTACGAGCACATTGTGAGCCGAAAATTCAACTGTCCATACGGCTTTTGTCCATAGGTCTACATCTAATCCAACGTATACGCCAATTTCGGCGTCTAGAAATTTCTTCAAGTAGTTTACTTGTTGCTTCGCCTGAGGGTAACACAGAAATCGCAGAAGGTAGGTGGAAGATCAGCTCAACTGCTACTAGCTACTGCTAATGGTTCAGGTATTAGCATTACACGAACGAAGCAAAAATCGGAGGAAAAGAATATTTTTATTCAAAATTATGAACACATGCATATTACCGCGATTTCGAAGATATGCAAAGATATTTTTAAAAAAACTGAGTTGAAGATCAGCGCATTAATTATTCTGTTGGTCTTGCGACGATGGCTAAACGGTATGTAGTTAGTAGTTTAGATCGATAATTGTACGGCCTGAAACCCGACTGGCATGTTGGGGTTGTTGGATATTTATAGATAAATTACCTCGATAACTTTTCTTGTTATGTTTTTGTATCGAGAAGAGGCGGCCAACTGAAGCTGCAAAAAGCTAAACCCTCATGTACACCTGAAATTTCCTTCTAGTTTAAATAATAACGATTTATACAAATGATAACGAATTATAATATTTCTCAATAACTTGTTTCTGAATAACCAACATTTCTGCAAATTCGTCTTACTTCATATGCTTCTTGGACTGAGATTCGCACTGAGGTCAACAGATCCAAAGTGACTCCCTTGTTATGCCTTCTGTTGCAGTGATATTTAACTTACCAATGATACGGTTGGTGCAAGAAAGACGCTTCGTTTCCCCCCTGCCTCAAAGCATGAGTATGTTTCATATAGAAGCTCCTTGATAAGCATTACCGATATAAAGGTCTTCCCGGAGCCGGTGCCAAGGCAGATGATAACATTCTGCTCAAGCGTCTTCTCAAGAATCTCTACTTGGTAGTCGCGGGCTGCGTGCTCGTACCTTTTAGCTTCGGCCATTTTTCTGTTCAATAATCTGTACGATAATTTAAACAATTAAGCCATTCATTTAGAACCTATTTTCAAACAAAGTGTATGTTATGAATTACTTTTCAACAATCGTAATCTGTCTCGTTGGTAAACTTCACGGTCTCTATTTGACGGTTCCAGCTTTTTTGAATGAAGCATTTTGAATCGAACCTGGACCGAGTGGCGATCGCCATTTTACAAGGAGTTATTGATTAACGTTTTACTGGTCTGCCTACTGAACACACAGATACCTTTCAAAGTACCGGTGGTAGCTATGCTAATTACATACATTTGCTGACCAACATCTTCAGATAAAGTAAATCTGCTATTTAAGTTTTCGATCTGCGTTGCCACGGAACCCATTAAAGCGAAAGCTGCATAAGATAACAGATGTGATTAATCAACCGCCGATGTAAAGAAATACCTAAGTAACAAAGTGCATACAAATCGGTCGACGAATCCTGTACTTATTAGAAATCACTTTAGTAGGTATGCGCGCAGTTGGCATCCCTCATAGAGCTCTAAACGTAAAACGTTCTAACAGATTGATTGCGTATAAGGAATTTATTGCGAATTAATTATAAAGCGCATATATTGTATTACGAAACCTATATACTACACGATTTATATTAATAACGAAAATTATTACATTATATTAATTTCAATGTTTACTTCGAAATTACTACCACAAAGATGATGGAACTGATTTCACTCGGGATTTTTTTATCTTTACGATGATCGAAATAACCTATAGTAAACACAATTTTTGAAGCACTTACGCTCAGATTCTTTTGTGAGACTAATAAAGCTCTATCAGGCTAGGTCGATAATATAGGGCGTCACGATCAAAGAGGCTTCGAAACATCATACATGAAAGGAGCGTTCTGAACATGCTAGAAAAACAACTGCACAGATTTGGCCGCTTGCGTGAGCAAACAACACGCTGTTTACTATCGCCAATGGTGGAATCAGGGCCATAAGCCTATAAAAAAGATTAGTTTTGTCTAAATAGTTGTAGTTGCACACGTATTTCATTATTTTCATGCCTGTAAATGTGAAAATTTACTATTTAGAAGATTAAAATGGCGTACTCATCTTATTTGACCTTTCAACGGCAAAGATATCGAAATGACTTATAGTGTGAAAAGTATCTGTACGCCTTGTAGATAGTAGAACGAATGGCATATCTAGGAACAACTGGACTATTTTAAAAGCATTTATCGGCAACTTTCTTTTTTAGAGACGATAGTTCCAAACATTTTTATGCTCGCTTTTATAATCTTCTTCGATGATAGCTGCATAAGTTGAACACATTTAGTTAGAGGCCACGTCACATTGATTCACTGTTGTTGATTATCTTATTATTATAGCCAACTGTGATTGTTTTTCAGAATTGGAAAAATTGAGAATTAGCCAACAATGCTAGCCAAATTATGAGCCAAGGGTTTTTTGAATAGTAAACCCGGTTTATGTTTGCATAAAAGTGCATGTGGGGTGCTTAAACAGTAAATTTCCGAGCACCACCCCATCGCCACATACACCGTAAGTAGCCTCCGTATTATTCTACAGACGCGTGAAACAAAACATTGAGCTCGACTAAAGCTAAACAATAGATCACTCGCAAGGACACTTTACCACTGTACTATTACCAGGGTTACTTACAGATACGAGTAGACATGCACATGCTGAACAACTGATTGCTTTACCCGCAACAATTGGTGATAGCGCTCGCAGCGCCCTTAAGCCCGCCAAAAAAAAAAGAGCGACAATAAACGGCAGCGTTTTAGTGACGTCTGAGGTGGTAACGAGGTGTGACATCACAAATCATTTTACGCGAGTAGCTGGTTCAAACCTGGTCATCCATAAAAAATTTTTTTACGGAGTTTCTCCGAGTCACAAGTATGCTTACGTTAAATTTTTCCCAGGTTAGGATTAAGAAACGCGTGTAAACAGAGTGAGTAACGTGAGTAGTAATGATTGAAGTTACAGAAAGAAGGCACACGAGAACGCATCTTCATAGTGAAGAACGCAGGTGTAAGTCACAATTCTGTCGACGGAGTATATAAAAATTGCATAGGAAAGCGGAAGAAATCACTGCTCGTTTGCTAGTTCGGGTGACGGCGCTCTGACTAACGTGTTTGCCTGCTAAACTTGACGGACACATAGCGGCCTATGTTCGAATTGAGCGGATAGGAATGTTTGGCTGCTAGTTTATTGTGTGATGGCGGTCAGCCAACTGCTGAAAGGTTCCGGACGAAAAAAGGTATTAGTATCGTATGTGTTTGTAAAAAAATAAAAAAAACTTGCGAGAACTGCAGGCAAAGAGGTATCAAAAATAGATTTCCAGTGGCCAAGCAAAAAGAAACTTTAATCATACGTTTTCCTTATTCGATGCTTATATATATATATATATATATATATAAGCATCGAATCATAATCAGTGTATGAATAATTAGATAGATGAATAAATACATAGGTGAGATGCCGTCTCTGTCGATGCAATCAAAGTGTTAAATCGTAATAATTCTACGGTAATTATTATAACTTTATAAAGAGCACGCGCTCTTTGTCAAGTTATAATACACGCTGGAAGAAATGCGATACTGAAGCGTTTGGCGCACAGAATTTTAAAATAGGCTTTGGACTTTGTTATAATTTATGGAATCAATGGAAAAGAGAATCATGTTGCCGCTGCTCTCATGCTGACAATAGGACGTCACTTTATCTCTCGAATGTTTAGTTCTTGAGGAAGTCCTCTAGATAACTTTGACAACGGGCTAGGCGAGTTCACGTCAGATAATTTCCGAATAAAAAAGGCTACAAATAAAAATCCTATCCTTAGGACCATGGTAGGCAGGTTACGATGATTGAAGCGAAGTTGACTGCACAATTATGGGGCAAGTATCGCGAGTTGTAACTTATCAAGAGATCATTAAATAGTTCAAATAATTACGGCTGATTTTTTTTGCTTGCATTCACGACATCTATGTAGTACGTGCGTCCCCTGGTTCCCCCGCCATCAAGTTTCTCTTAGCCTCTATACTGAACCTTTACGTTGTGGAACTTAATTAATTTCTGGTTCTCCTCTTAGGAAGTCTTGCATCGTCAATTATAGTTAGCCGTCTCTCAGGTAGTCGAAGCAACACCATTTTCCAATAATCGAGAACAGCTATAAGCGTAAGTACAAATACAAACCATTAATCGTTGCCTTCCTAAAAAACAAAAAAAATTAATTACACGGCGAGAAGCAAAAGTCTATTCACAGGTTTAGAGTCATAATTTTACATCTGTGCAATGGTGCAATAAAACGTCTTTGCTTTTTCCTTCCATGTACATACATAGACGTATACACAGAAGAGGGAGGCACGTATATATATATATATATATAAGAGTAAATTCGACAAATATTTTTATCGCAGTTACCCTTATAAGAAGATGTCCATATCGTATATAGGGCGCCTATTTGTTGTAGTATGATAGATGTTACGAGAATCGAATCGCACTGCGCGACACCTACTTACATTGCTGTCAAACTGTTGCCGGAGATAGTAACAGGCACCAGAAAATACTTTTGGTAACTGAAAAATAAGCGAAATAGTAATTGCTGTTACGTTACAGCAACACGCATTGAATTTGTATGATAGTTGTGTATTGTATCATGGAACCTTAAGGATAAAAAATAGATAAAAGTAGGCCAGGCGGAAGCGGTAGCGATAACAAACAAAGGAAATGATACGTTTCGCATTTATCAAAAATGTTCACCATTTTAGCAAACTTACTTTAGGTTTGCCTTTTATTTTTACCTTTAGATTAAGTGACAAAAACCGTAGATAAAAATTTGACCATTGAACTGAGACCTCAATCCTATTTCGAATGAGAATAAAGTTATTGCTGAACTTTACCAAGCATACTAAAAGAAGTTGCTTTTTCATTCTCCGCTACTTTTTATTCAATAGGCGAAGCAATGCACGTAAATGATATCCAAGCAGAAAAAATTTGCCGGTAAATCTAATAAATTATGAAAAGGATTTCCAATATCCTGGAAACGGCTGTCTTTGACGAAAGAATTCTTCGAAAGCAGGTTTGTACATTAATGCTATAAAAAAATAAAATATTTCTGCGAACTTCCGTCAGACTCATATTGTTGCATAGTTTAGTAAACCTCAGCTTTGTTTGGTACCTAAATTGGGCAACAACTTGTCCCTCCCGTAAGGTCCTACAAACTTCGTGGCTCGTTAAAAATTGATTTTTTTTTCAAGCATATAGAGCGCGCTGGACGATTTACCTATTTATTTTCTGCAGCAATAAATTGAGAGCTTGGGCTGGTGCTTGCCAAAACTGCGGCCGCATTCGTTATTCAAGCGCGACGAACTCTGCAACGGAAGTAGTATCGTTTGGATTTTTATGCATTAAATAGCAGGAAGCTGAAAGATGACGGTGATGACGAGTGGCGTACAGCTCTGCTATGTTATGTTAGATAACCAAGCAGTGACTATCCTAAAAAGATTCGATTTGTGATCTTTGTAGTACTACTCAAATCAATGTAGCTAAATGTTATGCAAAGGACTTTGTAATTCTCGTGACAAAGCTGAAGTTTATTGAACCATGCAGTAGTATGTGTCTAACGGAAGTTAGCAGAAGACCACTATATTTCACGTTTTTTTTACTACCTGACATTACCAGTGATAAGTAGAATAACTTCATATGTCTATTGCAGAGCTAGATCGTCCATAATTCGTTCGGTCGCCACAGTCGTCCCAACGAAGCCGACGAATTAATCCAGACAGCGGACTCCACTTTATACATGTTAACTTCTGTTAGAGCCACCTTTTCTTATTCGTATTCTGCTACTCTCGTTATTTTTATTATGATGGCTGAATTTTCGTCAGCTTCGGCTGTCAGCTGATATTGAAGAAAAGCTTGTGCTTTCCGACCTCTAGCGGATTTAGCTTCTCTTGCAGCCAATTTCAGATAGCGACAACTGCAGCCAGCCGCAGCGTCACGGATAGCCTTCCCCACCACTGATATCACTTGTGGCAAGGGTTGCAACGGCCAATGGTAATCAACAACATCGACTTGTCGAGGCGAGTTGATTCCATCAGCCTCTCCTGCAACAGCCGCCCCAGAGCCGCTCTTCGTCGTCAGTATTCGATTGCAAGATGGCGACTTCTATGCCGCTGTCTAACCGCTGATCAGCTGGTCTGGTCATTTGTTTCTCGTATACTGACAGAAACTGTTTGCGTTTTATGTCCAGTATTTAAGCTGTTAGGCATTACTAGAACAACTGGGTATCAGTTCGAAACAAAGTGTGCATAAGTCCGGATTCGAACCTACACCATCACGTGCATTCACTTTACCAGGCAAACGCGTAATCGAGTGCGCTATCACGGGGACTTTCAATATACAGATAATGTCCACAGATCGAGGTGTTGCTGTTGTTACACTAGTAGTCATTAAGTAGCAAGGCTGCGACAGAGAAAAACGGCGGTGGAGAGCGATGAAGCGCTGCTAAACTGAATACTCTGCTGCTGGTAGTGATGGTCTCTTGTTTACTGTCTGATTAATGCATAATACATAATACAGGCTTTTCTTACCTTGTTTCTACGTATGTACCAACGTCCGCCCTGTCGTGTGGCTGTGGTAGAATGGAGGAGTAACCCGACATAGACAGCGAGTTCGTACAACGCGCAAATCGAATGACTACACTAGTTTTCTTAGTGCTGTAGTGAATGGTATTTACGAGAAATATAAGTTTTGTGGAAAAAAGCTACGGCGACCGTTGCTACTTGATCGGACTTTTGATTAATCGGGGGCAGTTGTCACTCGATGGAACCGGCACCCCCGAGCGCCAACAACAGGCAACACTATTAGAGAAGCCGTAAAAGACGGGGCTAGCAGACAACATATGGGCAAGCGAGAACGGCCAATCTGCTGAGGCGTATATGTATTTTGGGCTCGGCTTAAGGAAGGTGTTCGACACGATACTAGTGTCGAGGTCCCTGCGACATAGCAGTTATTTGTTTTCACCGTTAACACTGAGAATCTCAGCGGTGGAATAGAGACGTTAGACGTTCACGTAACGGTTGGAAACTGTTCACGACTGAGTCTGAGTGTGGCTCAGGAAGGACGGGAGAAATCGGGCCAGTTTGTCAGCTCTAATCCGGAGTGCTGTAGCTACTCACTGTTGCGTCACCGTGTCCAATTTTAGTGTCAATGAGAAGCACAAAGTCTGTTCTAAACAAACGACATAACGTTATGGATATAGTACTGTAATGTGAAAAGTTTATGCAGAATCTAAAGTGGTTCAATCAGACATTCGGCTTAAACGTTGCCAAACGAAAAAGGCACGGATAAAGAAACACTCCGCTGAACAGAACTTACGATGTTTCGTGTCGGTGGACTGCAACGAGGACAGGCTAATGTATTTTGACTTACATTGGTGCGGAAACACTCGTAATGGTAGGGCTGCGTACAAGGCTCAGACCATGTGACTCGCTAAATGAAAAATAGGAATATCCTGTAGACAAACCAAGTTTCGATTAACCGAGAACCTTATCTATGCACGCCGAAGGTGGGGCGTAATATTCATGTGTATTGAATGTGCTGATTATTTAGAACTTATTAGGTGTGACGAACAATTTCATATCAGATATTAGTGTACTCTGGTGTACGACGAGTCAATTTCTATCGAACGGAGATGAGCGTTCGTTACTCGTATCATTGTTGGCGTTGATGACCGATACGCTTGCCGGTACGCCCGCTGGCGAGTTCCGGCAGGAAGAACGATCACAACGAAGAGTAAGGGACTGCATGTGAACTGTGCTTAACAGACGCCCTGGAAGGGGGCGGTGTTGGAGGCGGCCGGGGAAGGCCTGGCCCAAGCTTGCACGGCCCTGTGAACAACAACAAGAGGCCAGCGCCCAATAACAGCGGCTGGCCGGATGACAACAGATCGAACGATGAAAGCGAATTCGATGGTACTCCTGCCGCCAAAGAGGCGCGGCCCTTGGAAGAAGCCCATCTCAAGAATGCGCTCGACAACTGTCGGCACTTCCTGGCGATTCGAACGCCGGGTCGAGTGGGTCGCGAGTTCTTCGATGTCGGCTGCGTCGAACTTGCAAGGAGCTTGCTCGGCACCCAGCTCGTTCGTCGACTCACCGACGGCACCTTACTCCGTGCCAAGATTATCGAGACGGAATCGTACCCTGGTGGCGAGGACCGCGCTAGTCATAGCTACAATGGACGACGAACCGAACGCAATGAGCCGATGTACATGGAACCAGGCACCGCGTACGTGTACCTCACCTATGGCATGTACTTTTGCTTTAATATATCATCGCGTGGCGACGGTGCGGCAGTGCTGTTGCGTTCGGCAAAACCCCTCGTCGGACTCGAGCGGATGCAGCGTCTTCGAGGCAGCCGCCGAAAGGATGGCGGCAGTAAACTGCGTGCAAATCAGCTACTCAATGGACCATCCAAGCTTTGCATGGGGATGGCCATTGAAAAGGAGACAATGAACAAAGAGTTTGTGCCGAGTAGTGAACTCCTTTGGATCGAATTTGGCCAGGAGGGATCATCGAACAGCCTAACCGCAACGCCAGAACTAGCGACTGTTGGTCCCCAACGTGTCGTGACCTCGAAACGGGTCGGCATCGATTCTGCTTCTCCGGAGTGGTCTCAGCAACCTCTTCGATTCTATTTGCTGGACGAAGCGAGTTTCGTCAGCGTGCGTGATCACGCCGCCGAGAAGGCATTCTCATTGTGATATTATTTACGATATACGTGCTATTGCAATGAACAACTATTAATGTATTTCAAAAACAGAAGAAGGAAAAGTAAACGATAGTAAGAGTGTAACGGTAATTTATAATCTTATTACATCATTATCGGTTGATAGACCCTGCTACAACCAAAACAGCTAATATGTTAACATAACAATAATGTTATGTCAGTTTGATATTCACAAATTAACAAAAGAATTTGCAGTAGTTTAATAACAAGCTTTATTCTTATGGCTTTTTCACTAAGAAGTAATTTTTAAAATTCATTTTTTTGAATCTTGCGTGTCCTAGACTAACACTGTTAAGCAGAGAAGTAACTGTTTTTCAAGTCCATTGGACTCGGCAGCGTTGACCCTACTGCGTAGACTACGGCTTCATCCTTCGTAATATGTGAATCGCTTCCCTCATGTTCCGGAGCGTGTTTACACGCTCCTTTCCGTAAAAATACACCAACCGTACAGTTTTACCTGATAGTATAGATGTTCATATGATCAATGGGCATACTATATAGGCTTTTCTTCCCTTCAAACAGGAAAGATATATCTTTTTGTGGCAATGCGTATGAAAATAAAAGAGCATGTTCATAAGCTGAGTCGGCTAGTGTTCCGGATTATGCGTCCTCCTTGCGGTGGCATTGAGAGGACTACAGAATAATGCAGTAGATTAAAAAAAAAACAAGTTATTTGCGCGTACAATGAGTATAATAAAAGAGTGGCGGTGATATTAGTGATGGGGATGTTAGTGGCGGAAATGACTGGGAGAGAAAAAGAGCGCGTTCAGCGCTATGGGTCTCTGTAATCGCATCTAAAACGAGGTGACGCGTGAGTTCGACGGCTGGAGTGACAATAATAGTAATCGAATTGAGTGGATGGTAGATGATTTCTGAAAGACAACAGTTAAACAGGGTGGTCTACATGGCCTTGAATAGCGCAGTCTACCAATAGACTGAGATCGATGTACACACACACACAGACACACGCTCACACACACAAAAGACACATATATATATACAGACAGAGAGAGTATTCAAAAATCGTGTAGCTGATCCTCGCCCTAGCTGTAGATACGTGTCCTAGATAGAAGCTAAGAAATAATGAAACTGTTCGTGTGACAAGAACGAAATTGATGTAGTTGACGCCGACAGACTATAATAACCAAATAAAATTCAATAAAGGCAGCAGCAGGAAAGCTAATCGGATGATTGTCGACTCACCTAGGCAATGCATTACCGCTGACGTTATTAGTACGAAAAACGCACAACATACGATATACATAAGCGTCTATTAAAAGATATGGCGGACACTATGTTGAACAACTAAACACCAGAAACAACAAGAAAAAAACAAGATTCGCATTTACCGACCCAGCAACTGCGCAGTATAGAAGGATATATATGAACAGCAGCAGCAGGTCTTCGCACGACCGTATACCACTCTAATCCGAGCAGCATGAGATAAATCTAAATGGATACTAATTGTTCTGAATGATTTAAACACTCAAGTACGATCTTTTGCAGTATTTTTTTCCTTTATTTTGCTGGTCAGTAGATTCATTCCATATATATATGAGAAAACCGGATCCCTCGATTAGTCAAGAGGGATTAGACGAAGGCGAGTGAAGCCAGTTAGCGAGGCGGTTTGGCATAAACATAATATTACTATAAGTTAAGGAGTTTATCTAGAGCGAATTAACTTTGAAAAAATTACGTTTATTTCGCATTAGCGTGCAATTACTCAGGATAAATGCGCGTCACTAACGCTTCGATTCCAGCGAATAGGACAATAAGAACAGTTTGATGACAGCCATAACGAATCACATTGACAACAAGCACGAAGGCTCACTAACACCTATAAACGTTATATTATAATTATTACTATACTTGACGTGCACTAAAACGGGCACAATGCTTCAATCCAGCCCTAGTCACAGCATAGTCCTTGCAATGTCATGTAACGATTCGACTTTATTTTATACCTGATGGAACCCATTGAGGATGATGTGCATCCGTACGACATCATGCGACGCGTGGCATCAATATAGCAATACATAGAGAGACGCAGTGGTGCAGAGGAAGGGACCCAGTAGCGACCGATTCGCCGGCACAACTTCCGCTAAATTGGGGTTCTACTGACGGCGTGTACAGTAAAAGTTTGAGGGTCTACGTCGTGTCCTCTGCCATAATAACTACTGTAACTAACAATTCCCGGAGGATCGGCTATCGACACGGGCGCTTTTCGGCCGCAAGGCTAACAGACGGCATTTCTTGTTGGTTGTGCGCGTCACCTTGACTCGGGCGTTGTGCACCATGTTCCATCATCACGTGGCCGGTGATAGATAACGTTGCTTAGCTAAAACGAGCAGGAAAAAGCGCAACATTGGAGCCTGGGTGGGGTGGCAACTGAAGAACTGTCCTGTTGACTGCAACAACTTTAGTTAGCGCAAGAGATATCCGCATTATAATTGTATGTACGTGAAGGATCATTATCAGGGAAAAGCTGTTTAACTTGTGTTATCGGTTGTTATTATTACTTTGGTGATTAATAACAAACGTCTGGTATCAGAGTTCTTAGCTTTGTGGCGTACGTGCATGAATGGATACCACACTCAGTTCCTTTCACCTAAATAAATAACTAATAGTTTCCCACACAACATCTGTATCCCATATGATGCAATCGAAGTAACTAGCGTCATACAGTACATTGCGATAATACCTACGTAGTAGCACCTACGTGCTACTTATCAATCCCGTTTATTTAATGTCAAATTTTCTATTCATAGCTGCTACCTGCTTCGAGTAACTATCTACTATATATTGCAAAAGATTATCCCGTGCTATATTATTATTTGTATTCTTACAGCTTCATATTTAGAGTTGCTTTGTCGCGCTAGAGCGCATGTCGCGTTTATTTTGTTTCGTTTACACATAGCCTATACGTAATTCTTTGTGGATTTCCTATTGATTTCAAGATACATTTTTTGTTTTGTAGGACATGATTACAAAGCATGTTTCGGTTGTTATTGAAAGTGAAAGAAGGGTAGCCTGCAAAAAGGCTGTATCCATAAGGTAAACTAGATGACTAAGTAACTATGGCATACCGCGCATGAATAACATATCACTGCGATAGGCCTAAATCATCAAAACGCTCTAACTATAGTCAGTCATAATGTAGACGCAGTATGAAACATGAATGGCCTAATAACATATTCGTTAATACATTTTCATGTGAACAATCATGAGCTGGAAGGCTCAGAATTTCGGTTAGACTCCAAATAAAAATCCGATTGTTAGCTAGTTTCCGGAATTGCATTAGTAAGGGTAAACAGGAATCGCTCCATGACCAACATCTCTATATTGTATTAACCTTTACGAACATGCCAAGCTGCGTAGGATGCACAGATAATTCTCTCACTAGTTTTATGGTTAGGGTGACTAAAATACGGACCGCTTAAAGGAACAATATATAACCGTAGACGAAAGATACCAATATGGGAAATAATGTGGCATCAGCAAACACCACATGAATTTCAGGTACATAATGATTATCGAATGGGAGTTTTATTACTAGTTACAGCAAGGGCAAATGTCATGTTACTGTGGGAGCAACTGAATGTCTACGTGCTATAAAAAAAAAAAGCGAACTGTAAGAAGGGAAGTCCAAAGTGTAAATATATCGAATGGTTATATGATGATATTATAATATTGGCAATGAAGATGATAATAGTAGACACTAGTAGATGGCATTAATAAATAATAACTATAATGATAGTAATAATATAATTTAATAAACTTGTCGGTAACTTTGCTCAGATAATTGTCTTTATTAAAGGCTAAACCAGGTGAGACACTGGTTTGACGCAGGCGAAGAGTCTAGGCCTAAATGGTCACTACGAAGAGCAATTTATTCCTTATAGTTAGCTTAAATTTTTCAGTTTCGGTTTATTTTAGAATGGAGAAAACATATTTGCGATATGCCTTACTTGACACGCTATAAAGGTGACTTTATAATAATAAGTAATAATAGAAGAAGTACGAAAACAGTATTGTGCGCTCGTTCGGTGCTGTTTTTTCTCGTTATTTTTTTGTTTGTCTGACCTATTAGACCTGAGAGGGTCCATATATATATATATATAGGCTGCAAGATATGATTCAATTTTGTTGAAGATTGGTAGCCTCTCACAAATGTTCACAATGTGTGTGTCAGTATATCATCATTCGTTTAAGAAGTAGGGACAAGTTCGCTCTAACAGCAAAGCAACATGGCATTTTGCCGGAAATCATCACTTTTCAGAGAATGAAAAGTATGGAAACTCAACACATCACCAATTTCTGATATTATCTAAGAACACTAAACTTTGTAAAGTATTTTTATATGTGTCACTGTGTGCAGGCGGTTTGCCTCTTCCAACACAAAACGAGTAATACGTCTCCACGGTCTCAAAGTTAGACCCCTTAGCTGTTTTTAAGTTTGCTACATAAACACCTTACGGCGATACTATATAACGGCCTTTCCCGACGTTTTGCATTTATATACAGCGGACTGCATATTGATTTTTATCTTCATATATGCTATTGATATAATATATATTCAATGGCACCAGCTTCAGGCAATTTAATTTTCTCGACGATAAGATGTTGGCTTTCGTTTACATAACAAGAAAACGTTTTATAGATGACTCTGTTAGAAGAAGCTACGGGTCATTTTTCCGCTTAGTGGAGGATTCAGTTCAATCGGTACGTCGCTTTCTACGGTACTTCGCTGAGTGGTTCAATAAACATAAATTATTCTATCCGGGATCTCTATATATTTAGTATACTTATTCAAGTGTACTAAATTGTATTAGAGTTTAACTGTCCAGGTCAGTAACTGCATATTTAACATCGCCTCGGCATTGTTGATACTCAAGATAGACCTGGTTTGGTGTCACTGATCAATTTCCTTTCATTACATGATCTTAATAGCAGTTTGCTAAGTCGATACATATTCGAACGTGAAGCCCAAAAATATCCAATTGGGCCCATCAGAAGGGCAGCTAGCTGAGCTTCGACAAATACCTTTCAAGTTTGGTTACACAAAATTGCTATTGGCACAGCTCGATCAGTTAGTCACTCTTAACAATCCTCACGTGATGTTTCATTTCTCGATTTAATTTCGTACACTACAGACCTTGAAATCGTTTTGCAGATATGTGTAGACACGGAAACGCCTATTTCCACTAAGTGAACTGAGTCTTACCTAAGAACGTCATAGAAATTATGTTTGATGATAGGCTCTGTGTTATTTTTTGCTGTTGCACTAATGGTGTGAACGATGACCGCCATTGTAAGCGAGAGTATGACTTTCATTTTACGTGCTTTCATTTTCAGTGTACAATGGGTCGGCCCCATTTACACGAACCAGTTTTTCAAGTAGAAATTGTTTGCATTTAAGGTACAACCGAAATCAGCGTTTCCGTAAGCTGGATGCTAATAGCGCCTTGCTGATTAGTTCTTTACTATTTTCGAAGGAAGGAATTTCTTATGATGAACACATCTTTGAAAGAGACGTCAAAAATAAACACCATCTGTTAATGTGTTGCGAGGCAAATTTAACAGTCACGTTACCACATACCATAAAATTTTAAACGTTTTAATAAAAATTTAAGATATTATTTGTAGAAGCTGTTGTTGAAAATCAATTCTAAACCTGACAAGAGGTAGCATAAGTCAAATTAATACCTAAACAATTTGTTAGAGCTAAAGAACTCGAAGGAATTAACGAAATATATTGTCACTTCTCCAATAATTTCAAGCTTGTTTATAGCGCGGGAACTTATTCAAATCCCCGTGTTCTAAACAACAAATGTACGTTTAGTATCTTAAATAGAGTGGCCTGTTCTCCGTTGT